ATTTGTGGCAAAAAGGAATAGCCAAGAAATGGGGAACAAGTTTCAGAATCAGGAATAAGAGGAGGGACATTGTTTTCAGAGTCACAAAACACCCACTGCTTCTCTTTGCCTTGGTATTCAGGGGTGCTCAGGAGCTCTGAAAATCTTTCCAGTGCATGAAGTTCTCTTTTCTCTAATCCTCTATCTCTTTCTGAATGATAGCACTATACCCTTATTCGGGTAGCAGAGCTGGTGTGCAATCGCTCAGTACACACTTTCTATGACTAAAGTGGCGTAGAAGGAAGTTAGCATCCACCACAATGTGACTGTTTATGCCAAGTTGTACCACCTGCTTATGGCCTTCAGCTTTTAACAAAATCCATTTCAGCATGTAAAATGTAGAATAAGAAAAGCTACTTGGTGCTTTCCTTGTGTAGCTCTTTTTCCTGACTCAAAGGACTTATTCTTCTGAAAAGTGGGATTGTTGAAATCTAGCACTGTGAGAAGAAAAGAAGACCAGCTTGTGTGCATGCAGCTTCTTGGAGTGGAGGATTGGTTGTAGACCTGTTTCGATCTCTGGAAATATGTTGTTTCTCTTTCTCATTCTTTGGCTTTGAAAATGTATGTATCTCTTCTCATTCCCATTAAAAGAAATCAGATTGCATCCTAATATCAGACTTCTGGTTCATTTGCCTCTTTACTTGTTGTTTTATAAACTACTCATGGAAACGCACTTCTGTCAGGAGAAGTATTGGTAGCGCTGTGCACGGCCTATAACCCACTGACCCATGCCCATGATATAAGAAACAAGTCCTTGAAATGGTAAACGTCATTGCAAACAACCAGTACAAATAACCTTCCCCCGTCATAACTTACACCCATGGTATGGAGCAGCAATGCACCGGTTACTGACTGGACAAGAACCAGCAGATGTTGACCAGAGGTTCACGTCCATAGTCCAATGCTGATGTTTCAGGATCAGTGTGGACTGTACTGCTGAACAGTCCACATCTGGGCTATTTCAAACCTCTAGAAAGAAGCTATCAGTTTATACAGTCTACATCCTCTATTCGCTGGTATTAATACCTGGGTAAATAGGTGTCCAAAACTATTCTTGTTTTGGGGGAAAATATCAACATTTCAAATTTTTTTCCCAGATTTTTTTTATTTACATATATGTTTCCTCACAAAATATAAGCTCTGGGAAAAGACCTGTATTAGGACAAAATGTGTTTAGAAATGTGGCCTTTGTTTTTTAGAGCAGCTAAAAACCGTGTACATAAGTGCTGAAAATGCAAGATATCTGATCCTTTTAGCTTTAAGAAAGTTTCTCCTGGAGTGTGTTTCAAGCCGGTTTCAGTGAAGTGTCTACCTCAGTTAGTGTTGAACTGGAGCACCTTCACCTAAGTGCCAAAAACAGCGGGTGCATGTGCACCCATGTGCACCGCCTACACATCGCCACTGGGTTAGACTAAAGGGTATCTATGGCTCTAGCAACTGTCTTGCATCAAGGATGCATGGCACATATTGTTCATGGTGGGTCAGACACATCATTCAAGAACTAGAAGAGAATTCCTGTGTGAGATACATTTGAGGACAAGTTTTGTGGGGCTTTATTTGTTGAAGGGACAAAGGGGCTACAGGTGGATTTGTTTTGGATTTATACATACAATAAATGTCCATGTCCTTTACATGCCTACATGCATCTCAGCCTCTCCATGTTGCCAGGAGCACATGTTCCAAGGTTGTTATACTTTTCTTCCAAATATCTATAGGATGCTATCACAGAATACATGGGATAGTGGTGGGACGCAGCACAGCAACCCTAGACGTGTTATAAAAACAATCCTTTCCATCCAGCTCTTCCTCTGACATGAGCTCTCTATTTCCTTTGAAGTAAAGGGAACTGTGACAATGGGCATTATATGAGGAAGTGGCCGAAAGCTAGGATTTAACTCATTAGAACACATTGCTGATACAATCTTAAGAAACCAGTGCCGCATGCTGAAGCTGCAGAGAATGGCTTAGCATGCTAAGTTTGAAGCTTTAAAAGGAAACTAGTACATTGCCCCACTCTGCTCCATGCTGTAGTTATCCCAGGTTATCTGAGAACACCTCAAGCATTTAACAGACTCTTCTAGGCATTACCCTAAGGTGGAATGGGACAGATGTAAAATGTTATCTACATGAATAGCTGCCATTCTCCTAGGGGCAAAATTGAAGACATAACACTCAAAACCGAATAATAATGGCAGCAAGCATAGTGAGCCAACCAAAGGAGGGGATCTGGTGGGAAGTGAATAATACACTAGGTAAGGCCCTAGCCTGGGACACAGAGGGTGCTGGAGGCAGGGACATTTCCTTAATAAACTTGCAGAAGTCAGATTTACAAGTGAGCTCTTCTTGCACAATGCACTTCATGCAAAATGCTCAGCTGTACTCCCAGTGACCACTGGTCCGTAGCTCCCCATCTGAATCTAGGAAGACACAATCCTTCCCCCATAGTTTCATAGTTTCATCGTTGGTAGGGTCGCAAGGGACCTGAGGAGATCATCTAGTCCGACCACCTGACATGGCAGGAAAGAGTACTGGGGTCAAACGACCTAGGCCAGATGTTCGTTCAGCCTCCTTTTAAAGACCCCCAGGGTACGAGCCAGCACCACTTCTTTTGGAAGTTGGTTCCAGGTCCTAGGGGCCTGCCCTGCTGACCCCTGATCATGCAGGTGGCCCTCCTCTGGACCCTCTCCATGTTGTCCACGTCCCTCCTGAAGTGCGGCTCCCAGAACTGGACGCAGTACTCCAACTGCGACCTGACCAGTGCTGCATAGAGGGGGAGGATCACCTCCTTGGACCTGCTTGAGATGCATCTGTGGATGCACGACAAGGTATGGTTGGCCTTCCTGACCGCGTCCCCACACTGTCGGCCCATGTTCATTGTGGCATCAATGATGACTCCAAGATCCTTTTCTCTCTCAATCCTGGTGAGAAGGGAGTTCCCCAGCCTGCAGGTGTGCCGCTGGTTCCTCCTCCCCAGGTGCATTACCCTTTGCTTGCGCTTGTCACCCTGCCCAGAGCGTGGGCAGCTTCTGAGGATAAAACAGCTCTTTCAGAGGCACCTACCTCATGGCCCCAGAGCTGCCAGGGAGCACTGCTCTCAAGCCCAGTCTTCTCACCTGACCTAGAAACATGACAGTGAACTCCTCGGGGGCCCTTCCTGCCCCCAATCACAAGCCCGCCAGAGACAAAGCTGC